ACTTCTATGAGCAGTTTTTCGCACTAGTCAGGACGAATCAGTGGAAGACAATCGGAAGCGGTTCGAGCACCTGGCCAATCGGGTGGAGGAATTATCAGAGTCTGCTTTGGAGGGGAACTTCATGAATGCGATCAGAGCGTCAGTGAAAGTCATGATGCCTTGTGACTTGGGAGAAGCCATGAAATTGGTCCAATTTGTGGAAAATCAGAAGAATCTAGAGAGGGGAGACAGGAGTAGCAGCTCAGGAGGCACTTATAGGATGACGACTACTCATTTAACTCGCAAGAGTCCGACATTAGGAGAATTTTATGAGACCACTAGGGAGAAGCCAGCAGGAGGGAGTGGGGAAAATTTCAAGAGGCTAACGAAGAAGGAGATGCAGGAGAAGATGGCAAAGGGGTTATGTTTCCGGTTTGATGAGAGAAGTATATTCCAGGGCACAGGTGTAAGGATCGAACTCTTCAGGTTCTCACCGTTTGTGATGACGAGGAAACTGAGGGAGGTGAGAGAGAGATGAATGACAAGTTGCATCTGGATATGGCAGAGGTCTCCCTGAATTTAGTAGTGGGATTCACTTCGAATCATACAATGAAGGTGAAGGGGGAAATAATAGGCATGGAGGTGGTAGTGTTAATTGATAGTGGGGCTACACATAATTTCATTTCTACTCAGGTCATCAACCAACTGGGAGTGAAATTGGTGGACACTGATTATTATGGGATGATGATGGGTACAGGGAAGGTGGAGAAAGGCCAGGGGATCTGTAGAGGAGTGGTGTTGACCATCCAGGGGATTCAGGTAAGGGAGGATTTTCTCTCACTAAAGTTAGCAAGTACTTATGTCATCTTGGGGATGAAGTGGTTACAAACAGCTGGATCGATCCATTGAACCGGTCTATCAATACTCCCCTCCCAAAAATCCACCTTGTCTGTAAGGTGAAAATATGCTTGTGTTCCCGTGGAGGTGGTCATCCTTGAGCTGGCTGAAAAATCTTACCAAATTGCAGAATCAAAGGTTGCACTAAAAGAGAAACATCACCTTCCTCCTACAATCTGATCACCTCTAGCCTGTGTAGTTCCACCATATTACGCAATTTGAGGCGGAACTCTTTCACCACCAGGAAGAGCCGCACGATCCAGAAGCTCCAAGTGAGCTGAATAGGAGGGATTTTTTGGGGAATTAAGAGGGAAATTTGAATGTAGGGACTATTTAGGGATTTCCTTTTGATTTGTATGCATTAAATAGTTTGTTTTCCAAGGGTTAGGTCATCGGGAATTTGGCTGAAATTTGAGATCTATCAGGTTTAGGTTTCCTTTGGGCTCTAGTGGCTTCTAGAGAGTTTGGGAGAGATCGATCCTCCTCTCGAATTGAGGATCAACTGTATCTTGTTATTTTTCGTTCTATTTCATATAATAATACAAATTATCTACTGTTTTTGTGGTTTTGTTTGGATTTTTTTGGAGAATTCTCATTGTTTTCCGAAGATTGATAGGAAATACTTGAGATATCCAAGTGTTTCTTATCGGACCTCTTGGGAAGTTACACAAACAAGATAAAACTGTGAGGCCCTTAGGCCAAAGCGGACAATATCTCGATAGTTAAGAGTTTGAGTTGTTACAAATGATATTAGAGCAATACACCTGTGGGAAGATGAAAACTAAGTGTCAAACAAGGCAAAATGCTATGCTATGGAAGGCAATTTTAAAATATATTTTTAAAAAAAATTTATATACCTTTTTCTTAAGAATTTTTTATGATAACAAAAATTTGAGTTCGAGCTTGAGCTTTTTAAACGAGCTCGGGCTTGATTTTTATACAGCGACAAGAGTTCAAACTCATTAAATGAGCTCGAGTTGAGCTCAATATGAGCTCGGAGGACCCCGATCATAAATATTAATATGCGGAGTCATTTAGCGACCAAATCACATGTCAGAGGACAAGTGCTACATCCTTATTGGTGAGATATTTTTTTCATAATTAATTAAAGCGATGTTTTTTCATAGGGTAAGGTGAGGGTGGTTTTTTTATTTCTCTTTAACTATTATTATTATTATTATAAAAAGTATTTTATTTATATTTTTTATTTTATAAAATTCTTATTATTCGTGCAAATCTACATCATGTCGTCACCTTGCGAGCACACGCAAATATTTCGATTTTCGTCGTGTGAAGTCTCAGACCAATATGAGTGCCAATCTTCATTGTTTATGTTATCCCAAAAGCGTCGACACAATCCTTTTTTAGAACAAATATTGCTCGAATAATTTTGAATTTTGGTCGACGCATTTTGGACAGCATTTGCGAGAAGTCTTATCTTTCGTTCACCATTTTTGTTGTGTTTGATCCGACCTCCAGGTGGTTATCGAGGTCGACATATTCGCGCAAGCATTATTATGTCACCTGTTCAGGAGATTTGGGCCAAGTAATTTTTTATTGCATGGATGAGACATTGGTACACACCAATTAACGAAGGCTTCAAATTTCACGTGGTTTATCCAATTTTTAACAAGGCCAGATTGACCAAAATAAGGATGCCACTGAATATATCCCCATACTTATTATGTCTTTCTCAAATCTTCTTATATCCTTCTGCACGCATTTTTTATGATGGTACAAAGTGCAGCAATTACTCTTCTTACTGAAACTAATTGATGGTATAAGTGTATAAGTCGTCTAGTTAGGAATGCAATTTTGTTAAGCAAGAAATAACCTAAGAGAAGCACCAAACATTAATAATCAATAACATAATCATTAAATTCAAAGGGAATTACCATAACAAAAGAAATTTCAAAGACTACAGATAATAACCTTACTTGAACACAGATATTGAAATGAAGAATGCGCCAGAAGGAAAGCTGCTATACAACTTCGCCATCAAACATAGTTGATGTTGCACAATGCAAAATTAACTGACGAGAAAAATGCATGCAAAAGACTGCATTTCAAAGCTATCTAGTTGATCTATAAGCAGCAGAAAAAGGAAATGCAGGAGTCTCAAGATCTAAAACATACAACATGGAGGTTTGCATTATCCAATCAAATGTGATAAAAACACCACCATAAATTCATAAGGCATCAAGATATCTTCCCCATTTTGGGGTAATAGCAATTGAAATGCTTAAATAAGCCCTCATAAAAATCACATATCTAAAGTTTGAATTTCATTACCAAAACATACCATGGCATGCTCACGAGGGTTTGCTGATGTTGCAGTACAGAATATGAACAAAGGATTGCTACCATGTACTGTAAATGGGATGAAAGGCAAGTGAATTTTGATTGGAAAGAAAAGTAGCAGGAGCACATAATATCAATCCTTCTCACTCAAGAAAACGAGAGGAAATATTTACCATGCAAACAAATTCGGCGCAACCTCCTCAGAATAAGTGCAGTATGGCATCCAAAAGCTCCTTTATAAGTGTGAGTTTCATCAATCACAATGATCCTAAATAATTTACTGATTAGAGGAAGTATTGACAGGATTAAGGATTTTCTACTACGTAATTTTGATGAGCAAAATATTTTCTTCTGTTCAGTAAAAAATGTTCAAAATGTAAATTAAAAATCATACACAATTTACTTCAAAGTTTGACCTACTAGTTATAGAAAATTTATGTATATATTATAAAAATAGAGCATTTATATATTCTGCAAAAAGAAATAAACCATTGTGAAATGTGTTCATTCTACCTGAGGTTGGATAAAATCCGTTGAAATTTTGCATGATAGGGCAATATAGACAGATGCAACATGTCTGGGTTTGTAATCAACTGTAGTGATGAACACCGGTTTTAGACCAAAAAAATTGTAAAAGAAAGTCTCATAAAGTTGAAACTTCAAGAACCTCCTAATATACCACTCGGGCATTATCACGAATCCAGGTACGATGCATTTGAGAGGTATCTCCATCATAGATGCTAACATTGAAGAAAATGTCCAATCCACTTGTCATCTCCGTCAAAGCTCTCATTTGATCCTGAGCTAACGCCTGCAGGTGAAAATATGTTTCAGGAGAAAAAGAAACCAATGTATTCATTCTTTCAGGCTACTAATGAAAGTTAAAATCTAAATGTAGCAACAGGAAATTTTGCTTCCATAATTATTGATGGGATCAAAAGAGAAATTCCAACGTAGAAAACAAAAACAAGATAATAATAATATTAAAACAAAGGCATACTACAACTTATAAAAATTTAAGCAGAATGATACAATGGGGTGTAAACTTGTGGAGAGAAGAAATAGATAGAAGCCTTGTAGGAAGAAATAGGTGGAAGGGGAAGCTCTCAAGCTTAGGAAGAAACCCTTAGCTTTTAAGAGACAAATATCAAGCTTCAACTACTTTCCAACAGCAGAAAACATCACTATAAATAGAGAAAAGAAGTCAAAAAGACACCCAAGGCAGCCGCCCAAAACAGCCGCCCAGAACAGGGGAAAGGCACAGCAGCACCACAACCGAACAACAAAGAAAGGAACGGTCAGGAAAGGAATAGCCAGGAGCTGAACAGCCAGGAAAGGAACAACCAGAAACCGAACAGCAACCAAGAAGTGGAGCTCGGCACACAAGAACCCAGCAGCAAAGCCAAAAAGACAGCCCCCCAATCAGCCCCCATCCTCCAAACACCAAACAGCCAAAGAACAATGGGACAAGCCCATCTAGATGAAAAACAGCCCACAATAATTACCCAAAAAAATATTTTTTTGCCTACATCAATTCTCACTTTGAATCATATAAAGCAAAAGCAGACAAAAGAAAGCTCATATTGGCTTATATTATGAAGAGAAGGAAAAGATAAGTTACCTTCGTAGGAAATATATAAATAGCGCATGCTTCCATATCTTTTGAGAGTGCCTCAATAACAGGAATATTGTAGCAAAGGGATTTTCCACTAGAAGTTGATGTTGCCACAACAACATTCTTTCCAGAAAGAGAAGATTTTATAGCTTCAGCCTGCATAATAAGGGAAAGTAAACAGTGACAAAATGTACAGAACCACTTAAAACTAGTGCGAAAAACTACAACAATACCTGATGGCTGTATAATCTGGTTATTCCTATCCTTCTGAGAGCCGCTTTCGAGACATTTGCAAGGCTATTAGGGACATCCACATGGACAGCTAATTTTTCATTAATTTCTTCGATATGAATTATCTATTAAAGCAAAAACTGTCAAGTCTCAATCTAAACGCTCTAGTATAAAATTTAATGAGATTTTGACCAAAATTATGGAAACAAACCTGCCCAAAGATACCCATGCCCTTTCTTAAGTGGTCAACCATCTCGGTAGGTTTCAGATGATCGGTGCCCTGCTGATTAGTTTATAATTAGGTCACAGACCGCTGGACATAAGATTTTATTTTTAAAAACAAAAAGTGAAACTCTAGATAATTTATAGCTAAAATTAATGCTATGCATTCACAGAAACAAATATCTTTTAATCTTGAATCAAGGAAGGCAATATATTAAAGATGTTCAAAATATGAGTATTGGAATGCAGAACATTGCGTCAAAGAACAGCTGCAATGAAGATAAATTGCATTTTTGAAAAACTAAGAAAAAAATGAAAATGGGGAGGAATGCAATGGTTTTCTATGATTTGAAGTTTGATAGGAAAGTAGCATGAGAAGACCATCACGTAGTTTTGTGGGAAAGAAATTGCAGAAACAAAAAGTTTCATGAATCTGTCATAAAGAATAAGAGGATGCAAACCACAGGTTACAGGTTAGAAGGTAATACATTAGTTGCAATAGAGAGCAGAGCAATTGTTGAAATCTAGCCGTTTCCAGTGCAAAGGATCCGACGGACACAAAGATCAATCCGTGGGATACTCTCATGGATCACGCCATAATGAAGGAACGGATTTAGGAAAGATTTTTATGTATTATTTATGTATTAAATCTGTAATTTATTATTTCCTCATTAGGATATCTTGTATAGATCTATAAATAGGGAAGATTGTAATGAATAATTTCAAGCTTTTCCCTCTCAAATTCTCAGTTTTAACATGGTATCAGAGCCAACGGCCTTAATTGTCGTCGGAGAACGATCCTAGATCGTCGAAGGAGGAAGAGAAAAAGAAGAAGCTCGGACTTTATCGTGCCGACCCGTGTACGCTGGGACGGGACTAGATGGAGTCGAAGCACCAATCGGAACTTCCGATCCGAGAGGAAAGCCAAAGACGTCAAGACTCCCGCTAAGAGTCGAACGTCAAAGCATATTCGGAGGAGCGTCTGAATGCCATCTTCGACTGTCTTCTCCCAAGCCGACGGACGAAGGAGCGGACGGCAGAAGGCGAGCATATCCCGATCCGACGCTCGGAACTACCAGGCGCGGTCGACGTTTTTCTCCAGTACAGAAGGAGAAGACTCGATCCGAGCTCCAGGCGCGAGAAGCAACGCTCGACGCTCCTCCGGAGCCCTAGCCTCTCGCTCGAACTCAAAAAAACAGCCTCCCTGCTATTTTAGACGGCTCGAACGAAGGACCAGAAGAAACGAAGCCCAGCCGAAGGAAGGTTGTGCCGATCCGAAGCACGCGGAATCGCGCAGTGCAAGCCAATCTCCTGCTTGCGACTTAAAGGCCTGAATCATGCGGAAGAGCCAACTCTGCAGGTTCCCTAGCCACCCGATCCAAGTCTTGTTTTAAGACTTGGCCCACTCGGTTATTTAAACCGACAAGGAAGTCAAAGAAAAGAAAAAAAAAAAGAGAGGAAATAAAATTATATATTGGCCTTTATTGCCAACAACTAAAAATTAGGAGGATTTTTTTCCAGGAAGCCTTCATTGCTATCCAAGATCGTATAGATAGTCTTTATTACTATCATCATGTCAGAAGTCAATTCCTCCCAAAACATTGACCAAACTGAGGAGTCGATGGTGCACCAAGGATGAGGTGACCTTCAAAACATGCAACCCTCCTATCGTCTAAATGGGAAGAACTACCTAAAGTGGTCTCAATTTGTGAAGACCTATTTGAAGGGGAAAGGAAAAATACATCATCTCTTTGGAGGAGGACCAAAAGAAGGAGATCCTAAATTTGGGGCATGGGATGAAGCAAACTCCATGATTATGTCATGGTTGTGGAATTCCATGACTCCAGAAATTAGCGATACGTTTATGTTCCTTTCGACTGCAAAGGACATGGGATGCCGCCAGACAAACCTTCTCTAAGGCTCGTGATGCGGCAACAAATCTTTGAAATTAAAGTCAAAGTTATAAGCACAAAGCAAGGGAGTAAGACCGTGACGGAATATGCCACCATTCTACAAAATATGTGGCAAGAACTTCATCACTATAGATGCATAGAAACCAGATGTCCGAAAGATGCTGCGATCCTAAAAAACTTTATTGAAAAAGATAGAGTTTATGTTTTTCTTGCATGACTAAATGCAGAATTTGACAAAGTTAGGGTTCAAATTGTGGGCAAGGAGGAGACGTCATCACTCAATGAAACCATTTCCCTCATCCACGCAGAAGAAAGCCGACGAGGAGTGATGTTAGAACCGAAGGCAGTTGAAAGCTCAACAATGGTGATGAACAAAGAATCGTCATGGAAAGAGAAGGGTAAAGATTCTTCGAAGTTCAAAGACAATGACTCACTTTGGTGCAGCTATTGTAAAAAGTCAAGACACACAAAGGAAACATGCTGGAAAATACATGGAAAACCCCCCAGCAAGGAGTGGAATCAAAAGGGTGAAACAAGGAGCACATCACATGCCAACAATACTACAAGTAAGCTAGAAGCTCAGTCTAGCCTTGGAGAATTCAACAAAGAAGATATTGACAAATTAAAACAACTCCTGGTATCTCTTGAAAAACCAAATGCTTCTTCTTCACTTGCACTCTCAGGTAAGAATCAAATCTCTATTAGTTTAAGTGCTTCTAGAAATCGTTTAAAGGAATTATGGATCATTTATTCAGGAGCCATAGATCATATGACCCACTCACCAAACCACCTCATAAATTATACTCCTTGCCCAAACAACAAAAAAATCATCACTGCTGATGGTTCTCTATACCACTCGGGTAGCTAGCCAAGAAGACATTACTATTATCTCCCCTTACTCTTATCACCTCTGAAAAAAAATGTATCCTCCACGTCACCAACAATTTACCTCCACTAAATCTAACTATTCCAATAAACCAAAACTTACCACATTATCGAATATGATTTGGTCAAGCCTTGTATTTAACCCTACTCATTGCTTATTTCAGGATCATACGAAGAATCTGTGTGGAAGATCAATTGACTTGCCTAAGGAGTAATAAGATTGTATCTTCACCTGGTTGAAGTAACCTAATACCAATTTAAAAAGCTTTCTAGTTGCTCTATTTGTTAATCCCTTAGTATGATAGGAATTTCCACATGAGTTATACGACTTCTATCATTATGGCATAGGGACAATCCATTCTTTTGCCTATACCTAAAGAACATAAATGTATTCCACACTTTTTCAGTATAATATGGAAAATAAAATTTCCATTGTTGAAACCTGTGCTGAGAGTGGCTAACATAAAGAAATCTCACAATCTCTCCAAACAAAGTGAGAGCAATTGTGACACTCTCTATCTACCTTATTCATTACTAACTATAATGTGGGACCCTACAAAATCTTCAATATGCTAGTCTGGGCACACTGGATTGATGGTCTTTACTATTGCATGACTTTGCACTAGATGATGTCTCTTTGGATCTACTCTCCTTAAATAATAAATCTGATGTTTTAGCACCATTTTCCCATCTTTCTTCATGATTCCAAAATCAGTTTAGGGTTAAAAATACAGAAATTCTGCTCCGATAATGCCAAAAGATTATTTCAAATCAAAACCCTTTCCTCCTCTTCCAGAGTGAAGGGATCAATCCATGAGTCCTCGTGTGTTCACACCCACAACAAAATGGGGTTGCGGAGAGAAAAAATGGTACTTTCTAGCCACACCCGAGCTTTCCTATTCACTACAATACACTCAAATCCTATTGGGGTGGAAGCTCTTTTAACTGCAGCTTATCTCATCAACCGATTTTACCTTCAACAGCCTTAGACCTCAAAACTCCAATGGAGACCTTGGTCCCTCTTTTTACCCAGAGTTTCGAACCCATCATAATCTTGCACTCAAAATCTGTGGGATGCACTTCTTATGTTCATTCATTAGCCCATGGGCGATAGGAAAATTAGATCCAATCAGCACTCAAATGGCATCTTTTGTTGTGCCTATTCAGCTACCCAAAAGGTTATAAGTGTTTCATCCACCCACAAGGAAAAACCTTTGTCTCTATTGATGTTACCTTTGATGAGAAAAATTCCTATTTCTCAAAAACTCATCTTCAGGGGAAGACTGAACTTGAGGAAGATGAGGAAAATGAACTAGCACCTCTTGACATTCCTCCACCACCTCAAAACAATCCACCTGAAACCTAAGATAGGGAAACAAATGACAAAGCTATTATTAGATTTAGAAAGGTTTACTCTAGACGTACAAGCTCAAGCTGTGCTCCAAAGCAGATCCAAGAATCTGAACCATCTCCTGGAAATAAGGTAAGCTCACATCCTCCCTTATACCCTATAAACAACTCTATATCCTTCAACAACTTCTCATCATCACACAAAAATTTTCTTGTTACATTAGAAGATATCCATATTCCTAAAGAAATTTCTGAGACCTTATCTGATAAAAATTGGAAAAATGCCATGAAGGATGAAATGCAGGCCTTGGAGAAGAACAAAACATGGGAGATCGTCAATCTACCGATAGGGAAAAAATCGGTCGGCTGCAAATGGGTGTTCTAAGTGAAATACAAAGCTATGGCACAATAGAGAGATATAAGGCAAGACTAGTGGGTGGATGATAACATATGGCATTGACTACCAAGAAACGTTTGCACCTGTACCCAAAATGAATACTGTCCGAATACTGCTCTCACTAGCAGCAAAGTGCAATTGGCATCTGGAACAATTGGATGTGAAAAATGCATTCCTGCATGGAGATTTAGAAGAAGAGATATTTATGGAAATACCACCAGGGTTTAAAGAAAAATCTGAAGGTAACAAGGTGTGCAAACTGAAAAAAGCTCTATATGGGCTCAAACAATCACAAAGGGCCTGATTCGGAAGATTCTCTAAATTCATGCTCCTAAATGGGTATCGACAAAGTCAAGGGGATCATACATTATTCTTCAAACATTCAGACTCAGGGGGAGTCACAATATTATTAGTGTACGTTGATGACATTATTTTGACTGGAGATAATGTAGAGGAGAAAGACAGTTTAAGGAAAAGTCTTACTAAGGAATTTGACATCAAAGAACTTGGTAG